AGGCTGATCGTATCTGCAGAACAAGTCTCACCTCCGGTGGTTTGCCCAGGTGCTGTGACAGGACAACAAAGTTGATCAGGGTCTCAGGATGGCCACTGTCCTGAAAACGAGAACAATCACCTGATCCATCTGCCTTACCTCTACCGTCACCCAGTGCAACAACCAGCACAGTTCTGCAAGTTTTGCCAAACCCATAGCTTGCTTTACTGGAAAAGGCACAGTAGAAGAAAAGGTAGGTCTTAACAGCGACCACCCTTAGCGATATATATCAATATATTGGTATTTTCATGAAGTTTAACACTGGAAGTCCTTGCTGTTTTACTCTATATCCCCCTGAGAGCAAATCTGCCTGGCAAAACCAGAAAGTACCTTGTCTAACGCCTCCTGAAGTACTCCCTCCGCATCGTCCCACTTGCCCTGAGCCATATAGCAGGCTGCTTGCCCGTTAAGCAGGAGGAGGGTGGAGGAGCATTTGTCTGCCATCTCTTGGAAGATGTAATAGGCATCTTGTAACTTCTCACCGCCCTGCGAAGTGAAACACCCCCAGTTTCACTACATACTGCTGAGAGGCCTGTACGTTCTCGCCATGGTTGAAGGACTAGGCACAAAGTTCATTTTTAGGGTTATAAAGCACAGGTATAAAATGTGTAAGCACCAATGCTAACAGCTGTTGGCATTCATGTGATCTCCGGTAGCACCACAGATCACTGTCAGACCCTAGATGAAAGAAATGCAAAAACATTAAGAAGCACTTAAACAATCAAAAGATCCAGGCTTCCATTCAAAAAGAAAAAAAAAACCCACTTCAAAAGAACCACTTCAGATGTTCAACATAATAAAGGAATGAAACGAGATTTTTATAATTAAATGCACATATGGACACCTGGCTTTTTGTGAAAGGTTCTACTTGCAACGTCTTTCACCAGTTAAGAGGTGGGATCTCTTGCGGAAACTAAGATCTTAAGGAAAATCTAGCCCCACGCTATTGTAATACAAGGGCTACATATGAGAGATTTCAAAACAAAACCAAGTGAATGCTAAAAAAAGAAGTCTTAATAGTACAGCAGGTTACTGCATGCCTAACCTTGGACTTTACTGAATTTTAGGAGACTGCTTATTTTCAATCACCTGATTATCTGGACTGCCAAACAGCGTGTATTTTTGTCTGATTCACAAACATGCTTATAGACAGTCTGCTCTAAGCAGAGAATTAAATTTTTTTCTTGGAGTTTAATTGCAAGGTTTGGATGCCAGTAACACTGCAGCTTTCCATTTTGTATTATAATGTTTTGTGAATTATTAAAGTGTGGTCTAGCTCTTCCCAAGGAGCACAGATGAAAGGCGAACAATCAAAACAGCCAGTTAGTTTGTGAAGCCAGCTACCAATATTTTCTGTGTACTTGAAGAAAGGGGGAAAAAAATCCCACCCTAGAATCAACAAAAATCCTGCACGCTTTTTGGAAAGCACGATGTGGAAAGAGCAATCAGGAACAAGAGATGGAGCAGTGTTTCTCCGATGCTGTACCCTAGGGATCCCCATTTAAGATACTCACTATGGCCAGGTTCACCCAGGCAGTTGCCAGCTGAGTAAGAGTCGCGTCCTCGTCTTGCTCCTGCATTTTCTTAAGTTCCTTGCTGCAGAAGCAAAAGTGGGGGTCACATAACAGAAAGTTATATGACAGTTTCTTTAAGACAGAAACAAGAGGTTGTAGTTTCTTCTCTCAGCTCTTCCATTGCTATAGCACAACAGCCACAGCAAGCTGGTAACGTAGCACAAACACCTCTTAATATTTTACTGGTATAATCTGTGAAAGGCCTCCCCGTTTCACTTCCCCATGGGAAGTTAGAAACCCAGGAACAGAGATTCAAACCACATTCTGCTGAAGACAAGATTGAAGCGAGAGGTCCATCTCTTCCTTTAACTGTATCCAGTTCTGTTATCACCACAACTTTTGCAAGTTGAAGAATAAAAACGTTTTGCAGTGCACCCATACCCACACACAAGGTCTTCTGTCCACCGCAGTTGTTAAAATGCTACACCCTGGGGGAGTTGGGTGATGAAAATTCTCTTATCAAGCCCCCCCATCCCAAGAACACCATTAAGAAGCAAAGGGACACAAACTTACTTACCGAGCCAGATCAAGCCTGTCGAGCTTCAGAAGGATCTGTATCATCATGGCCATGCTGCAACAAACAACAGCAGAGTGATTTTCACAACTGCAGGCTTTACTGCTCCCTATGCTTTGCTCAGGAGCCTGCTGCTTAGCGGAGATGTGCTGCCAGTGCCCAGGGACAAGTCTCCCTACCACGGGGAACCAACAGAGTAGGCGGTTCTCAGAGCAGGACCTGGGACGGGGAAGCTCGCTCCTAACTCCTATGTGCTCCCTCACTGTATCGGCAAAATGCTCATCTCAGCAATTCTGAACATAAACAAATCAATAAATCAGGTTCTTATGTTTCACAAGGGAGCAATAGACTTAATATTGTAGGACGAGCAGCAAATCACTTACTACTTAGAAGGCAAAGCTCAAAAGCAGTTTCTAAATGGTTTCAAGGCTTTTTAGAAACCTCAGCCATTTCTACAGCACCTCTCCCAAGGCAAGAGAGTGGCTTTGCCAGTGGACAACTCCATGATGCCAGCGCGAGTTACACTCACCATTCCAAGCTCTCCCCTTGATGCAGAGTACGCAGCGCCGCATCAGGATTTTTGTCGTGGAAATAGATGGAAGCAGCCATCAGCAAGAAAGTAGTATTGGCTATATCAACACTTTTTGCCATTTTCTTGTCCAAATCGGCAACGATTGCATCCCTATGAAGAGCAAGGGTGAGAGTTTGGGCGTGTTTCGTTACTAAACAAGACAAAAAGATCCTGCTCCTACACAATTCTACCTGTTTAGGATTCACAGCAAAATCACAGAAAATTGCAATTAAGACCACACTTCTACAATGAACTTTCCACGTGGAAACGCATTCCTGGCAGGACAGGGCTTGAGTTCCAACTTACTATCAGACTTACCTTTGACTCTCATTTGAAAGATACTCCGCAAACATCCTCACCGCTTGGAGCTCAGGACTAGCATTAGCTTTAATTTCATCCAGGACAACACCGTATTTTCTCTATTGAAGGCAACAAAGAAAAGTCTGTGACTTACTATTTTTTCAGAACATAGGAAATAATTCCTTCCTTTGCAAAACCTTGGTTAGAACAACAATGACAAAAAACAGGAACGGCAAATTTCTACTTTATGTCTCACACTAAACTCTACAAACACAATCAAATTTCATAATCCCAAAGAGGACTGTTTGCCCATATACCATTTTAAAGATAAAAAAGCACTTCTCAAAGATGTCTCATCAGGTCATCCTGACCCTACATATAACACATTGCATTCACAATTCCATTACTGTCAGGGAATGCATTATGTTCCAGTGCTGAAGGAGGAATTATTACCCAACTGTGTAATGCTGGATTCACAGGACTCAGACTCACAACCTCCTTGACTCCAGCCCTGCAGTCAGACTGTGCTGCTGGAAAAGCAGCGCTTGCAGCCTCACCTGTGCAATGTAGGCTCGGAATAAGAAGACATCCCTTTCCACTTCCTTCTCCGGATTAGAGGGCTGAAAGGACGACAGGAAACAAGAACCTCTCTCAGGGACCCGTACAGCAATGATCCAACCCCGCAACAGCACAACTCCACACACGAGACTCCCCCAGAGACACGGTACCCCTCTCACACACACAGATTCTCGGGGCCCCCCTTCCACCCCAGCGTCTCCCCGCTAGCGCAGGGAGGCAGAGAGTACTGCAAACCGCCTGAGACGAGACAGGCAGGGAACAGGCGCTCGGGGAGCCCCAGACTCGCGCCTTTAGGCGCCGGAGCGGCCGAGAGGAGGTAGGTCCCGCAGGGAGGCACCGACCCGCGGGCGAAGGGCCACCGTGGCCCCCCCCCCAACCGCCTCACCCTGACCCGCCGTGCCTCCTTGCT